ATGGTGTGGAGATTAGCGGTAGCACTAGTGGAGCTGCTGGATCCGAGGGAGGAGAGCAGCAGCAGGGGAAAACTAAGAAGCCGAAGGGTGTCGTTATGAAGGGATGGGAGACACCCGTCTCCAGGCCAGGACGTACCCGTATGGCTACTAAGAAGCTGACTGCAGGAGCTGATGTAGCGGAGCAGCAGCTTGGGACCGAGGAGGCATTGCTGATTCTACCGCATGGCTATGACCCGGATGAGGAGGATGAGCCTGCGTACTGTTTTCTTGCCCCTGCACCAGAGGAACCAGCTAGCATGGAGGAGGCATTAGCTGGACCAGATAGGGACAAATGGCTAGCTTCCAGGGATGCTGAGTACCAGAGCCTGCTGGAGAATGGGACTTGGGAACTAGTGGTGCTGCCTGAGGGAAAGAAAGCGGTACAATGCAAGTGGGTGCTAAGGATCAAGACTGACGACAAGGGGCAGGTCACCATCTACAAGAGTAGGTTGGTGGCTAAGGGGTTTATGCAGAAGGAGAAGCGGGACTTCAATGAGATCTTTGCTCCCACTGCCAAACCCCCTACCCTTCGTGTCTTGTTGGCAGATGCAGCCGTTAGTGGGAAGTTCATTATCCAGATGGACATATCAACGGCATTTCTCAACGGGATTTTAGAGGAGGAGGTGTTCATGACGCAGCCACCTGGGTATGAGGATGGTACAGGGCAGGGTGTGCAAGCTGAAAAAGTCCATCTACGGCTTGAAGCAGGCGCCACGCTGCTGGTACCAGAAGTTGGCAGCTGTTTTAGAGGAGATGGGATTCAGGACCAGCAGCTGTGATGAGAGCCTCTTTCTCAAGGGGGAGGGGGAGAAGCTGGTGCTGTTTCTGGTCTATGTGGACGACATTCTTCTCTTTAGCAGCAGCATGAAGGAGATCCAGAAGGTGCAGCAGCAGCTGATGGAGAACTTCAAGTGCAAGAACCTTGGGGAGGTAAAGTACTACCTCGGGATGCACGTGGAGAGGGATCTGGATCACAGGTGGTTGAAGCTGCACCAGGAGAAGTTCATCAAGGAGCTTGGGGAGAAGTACGGAATTGAGAATGAGCGCAAGGTTGCAACTCCCCTGCCAGCAGAATTCAAGCTTGTGAAAGCTGCAGAGGATGAAGGGGTTGAAGCCGAGGAGCAGCAGCAATTTCAGTCCTTGGTGGGCAGCCTCTTGTATGCAGCAGTTCACACGAGACCCGACATCTCTTTCTCGGTTGGGCAGCTGGCTAGGGTAGTGCAGAATCCATCAGAGGAGCAGGTGGATGCAGCTGAGCGTGTGGTGAAGTATCTGAACTCTCACCCAAGCATTGGAGTTCAATACTCCGCATCTGCACAGGTGAAGCAGAAAGGGGTTGAGGTGCTGAAAGAGAAGGGGGAGAGGCTTGGAGAAGGCAAGCTTTTTCTCACTTGCTTTACTGATGCTACGTGGGCCTCTGAGAAGGAGGATTCCTCATCTGTGGGAGGATACATCTGCGTAGTTGGGGGAGGACCGGTTAGTTGGAGGTCAAAGAAGCAGACGGAGACAGCACTCTCTTCCGTGGAATCAGAGTACATGGCGATGTTCCATGGGGTGAAGGAGGTGATTTGGCTGAGGAGGCTGTTGGAGGAGATTGGCCAGGAGCAAAAGGTTGCTACGCCGCTGTTTTGTGATAGCAAGGGAGCTCTTGGGATGGCCAGGAACGCTGTGCTTCATGGGCTGAATAAGCACATGCGTATCAAGTGGCACTGGCTGCGTAAGGAGGTGAAGAGGGGGACGGTGAATCCGATCTACATCAAGACTCACCAGCAGCCAGCAGACTTCCTCACCAAGAGGCTTGCGGATGAGCCTCATTGGCGTTGTGTGCGCATGAGTGGAATGAGCATGAACTAGTATGGAATGATGGGGATGCAGCCGGCAGGCTGAGGGGGAGTGTGTTGGGTGCAAATTCACATTGCACGACATCCTGCCGTCTGTTTGTACGAGTATGCGTGTGCGAATGCATTTGCGTGTGAATGGTATGTTTGTGTGTTGTTTGCTTTCGCAATTTTCGCTTGAAGCATTTGCAGGTACTCGCAAAATGTGCGCTTCGGCATAACATTGTACGCGCTATGAACAGTACAAGCAGAAAGGACGAGCTCGCAAAGGAACCCAAGATGGAAGCTTTGCGGTTCGGCTTACTTGATTGCGCAGATTCAGTTCTATCCAACTCGAAATTGTACTGTTTTGTTTGGTTGACTATAGTGTAGCAGGGCAGGCACTATAGGGGTACAATTTAGGTGAAGGTTGGATGTTGTTTGTCTGTATCTGCATGCTACAGGGCCAGGGGAAACCAGCGGAACCAGCATTTGGCTGGTTGGGCAAAGACAAAACAGGTTCTGTTTTTAGGACCTGAACCTGGTTGTTGTTTTCCCCAGTTGGAAAAACAGAACCAGAGGTTGTTCACCAACCTATCACCTGCTATTTTGTCCAGCCAGGTTGGTTCTGTTGCTTGGAATTATTTGGGATCATCCCTGGTTGTTCCCAGGTTGATTCCCAAGGTCCTTGCTAGCTAGAGCTATTTATTCCTTCTCTGTTTGTACCTGAATATAGTGAAATTGATTCAAGCGAATTCCTTCCTTGCTGGAATTTCGTTTCTACGCGGTGCGACGGCGGAATGCTACCCGAGTCAACGCTAGTACGCTAGCACTCCAACGCTAGGCTAACGCTGTCCGAGCCATAACTTCGTAATGGCAGAACTTTTCGCGAGGCAACTTGGCTTATTTTAAAGCTCTTAGAGTGAGCTTCGATATAGGAAATTCTCAGCTTAATTCGATCAACGGTCTGCACGATACGCTGCGCGACGTTCAATGTACTCTTGCTGTTTTGACTAAGTCCCTCTTGATCCCTCTCTCTACAAACTCGGACCCGAGGATAGGGGCTGGTCTTGTACCAGGCACCCAAGGACCCTTGGAGGTGACCCCGAGGAGAGGTTTTTAAGTGTGATAAAGTCTTAATAGCTTGAGTTTATTAGGCCCTTACACCAACAAAGAGGGGGACGGTGAATCCGATCTACATCAAGACTCACTAGCAGCCAGCAGACTTCCTCACCAAGAGGCTTGCGGATGAGCCTCATTGGCGTTGTGTGCGCATGAGTGGAATGAGCATGAACTAGTATGGAATGAGGGGATGCAGCCGGCAAGCTGAGGGGGGGTGTGTTGGGTGCAAATTCACATTGCACGACATCCTACCGTCTGTTTGTACGAGTATGCGTGTGCAAATGCATTTGGGTATGAATGGAATGTTCTTGTGTTTCTTTGCTTTCGCAATTTTCGCTTGAAGCATTTGCGGGTACTCACGCATTCTGCGCTTTGGCATAACATTGTACGCGCTATGAACAGTACAAGCAGAAAGGACGAGCTCGCAAAGGAACCCAAGATGGAAGCTTTGCGGTTCAGCTTACTTGATTGCGCAGATTCAGTTCTATCCAACTCGAAATTGTACTGTTTTGTTTGGTTGACTATAGTGTAGCAGGGCAGGCACTATAGGGGTACAATTTAGGTGAAGGTTGGATGTTGTTTGTCTGTATCTGCATGCTACAGGGCCAGGGGAAACCAGAGGAACCAGCATTTGGTTGGTTGGGCAAAGACAAAACAGGTTATGTTTTTAGGACCTGATCCTGGTTGTTGTTTTCCCAGGTTGGAAAAACAGAACCAGAGGTTGTTTACCAACCTACCAGCTGCTGTTTTGTCCAGCCAGGTTGGTTTTGCTGCTTGAAATTATTTGGGATCATCCCTGGTTGTTCCCAGGTTTATTCCCAAGGTCCTTGCTAGCTAGAACTATTTATTCCTGCTCTGTTTGTACCTGGATATAGTCAATTTGATTCAAGGGAGTTCCTCCATTTGGAATTTTGTTTCTTCGCGGTGCGACGGCGAAATGCTACCCGAGTCAACGCTAGTACGCTAGCACTCCAATGCTAGGCAAACACTGTCCGAGCCATAACTTTGTAATGTCAGAACTTTTCGCGAGGCAATTTGGTTCATTTTAAAGCTCTTGGAGCGTGCTTGGATATAGGAAATTCGCAGCTTAATCCGATCGACGGTCTGCACGATACGCTGCGCGACGTTCAAGGTACTCTTGCTGTTTTGACTAAGTCCCTGTTGATCTCTCTCTCTACAAACTCGGACCCGAGGATAGGGGCTGGTCTTGTACCAGGCACCCAAGGACCCTTGGAGGTGACCCAGAGGAGAGGTTTTAAGTTTGATAAAGTATTAATTGCTTGAGTTTATTAGGCTCTTACACCAACAAAAAGTTCTGCCATTACGAAGTTATGGCTCGGACAGCGTTTGCCTACCATTGGAGTGCTAGCGTACTAGCGTTGACTCGGGTAGCATTCTGCCGTCGCACCGCGTAGAAACGAAATTTGAGAAAGGAAGGAATTCGCTTGAATCAATTTCACTATATTCAGGTACAAACAGAGAAGGAATAAATAGCTCTAGCTAGCAAGGACCTTGGGAATCAGCCTGGGAACAACGAGGGATGATCCCAAATAATTCCAAGCAGCAGAACCAACCTCGCTGGACAAAAGAGCAGGTGGTAGGTTGGACAACAACCTCTGGTTCTGTTTTAGCAACCTGGGAAAACAACAACCAGGATCAAGTCCTAAAAACAGAGCCTTATTTGTCTTTGCCCGACCAGCCAAATGCTGGTTCTGCTGGTTTCCCCTGGCCCTGTAACATGCAGATACAGATAATCAACATCCAACCTTCACCTAAATTGTACCTCTATGGTGCCTGCCCTGCTACACTATAGCCAACCAAATAAAACAGACGGCATACTACGAACAGACGGCAGGATATCGTGCAATGTTTATTTGCACCCAACACCTTCTCCTGCCCTACATCTTCCCAGATCTGTCCGCCTTTGCCACAGTAGCCGACCTCGTCACTCACCTTCGCACTAGTGACACTCGCTACCATGCTGCACTTTCCGCCGAGTTTCTCACCAAGAACCTTCCTCTCATGTACATCACTCTCTACTTCATAGTCACCCTCCTTACTGACTCTCCTAGCGCTGTTAGGGACCTCTTTCTCGCCCTTGACCCTACCACCTTGACTGTCGACCTGCTGGAGAAGCACCTCCTTGCAGCTGAGACTAGCATAGTTGTTGTAGGCGCTTCTCGTGGCACTCCTCGCACTCTGTTGTTTGAGGGGTGTTCGCCCTCCCCCCTTCTCCCCTTAGTCGCATTTGCTGCAGCTGTTGACTACCTTCGTGCTGCGGAGGTTGGAGCTGCGTCTGCCCCTAGTGGGAGGCGCCGCAGCGGCAGGGGCAGGGTAGGGAGGGGCGGTGGAGGCGGTGGAGGGGGCGGCAGTGGCGGAGGAAGTGGTAGTGGGGGTGGAGGTGTAGGTGGCGGCGGTGGTGGCGGCAGTGGCGGTAGTGGCGGCGGCAGTGGTGGCGGCAATGGGAGTGGAGGCGGCGGCAGTGGTGGTGGCCAAGGTGGTACTAGTCAGAGGGGAGGCCTTGGGGGTGGTCAGAGGCAGCAGCAGCAGCGTCAACTTTCGCCCTAGGAGCCACGTGAGTGGTCTGCTCAGCGTGGGGCGGCTGGGGCTACTGGTCCCCACCCGTATGTCATTCGCACAAGTGACCGCACTGGTCAGATATGTGAGAAGCTCCACACCCAGTACCGCTGCTTCTCTCGTCTTACCGACGCCTTCCGCAGAGAGTTTCCCGACGCGGCTGAGCTCCCCCGCTGGGTAGAGCTGCTTAAGCAGGGTGTAGACATCTTTGCTCTTGATTATGATGCTATTCGTTCTGCCATGTATGCATTGACTGTTAGTGCTGAGGGTGACTGTTACCTGTGTGTGCCGCCAGACCCAGGTATGGAGGCTGCTGCTCTAGGTGCTAGAAAGTCTGCTGCTCTAGGTGCTGGTGAGTCTGCTCTCTCTGGTTCTGAGTCTACTGCGGCCCAGCACACCTTAACGCTTGACTCAGGTGCTTCCTGCTGTTTCTTTCGCGACAGTATCACACTCACACCGCTCTCGGAATCTGTTGCTGTCTCTCTGGCTGACCCCTCTGGGGGCCCAGTCCTTGCACGTTCCTGCACTGTTCTGCCTTGTCCGGAGGTTCCATCTGGCTCACTCTCAGGTCACCACCTCCCCTTGTTCTCTACAAACTTGGTGAGAAACACCGTCCTTCAGTATCAGTGGGTTAAAACCTTCACCCTTGGAGGACAGCGTGTGGCGATCTGTACGTGCTCCCGGACTGGCAGGCACCTGGCCACATTCACCCGTCGGCCTGGGTCGAGTCTGTACACACCGACTACTGCGCCTCCTCAGGTAGCTGCGTCTGCGTTAGGTCAGCTAGCAGCTTCCTGCTCGTGTCACGCCCTGTCACACTAGACGCTCCTTTGGCACCACCGCCTTGGTCACCCCTCAATAGCATGCCTCCGTGGCATGCACTCTTGTCTCCTTGTCTCTGCTCTTCCCAAGTCTCTGCCTCCCCTCCCACCCTCGCCTGCCCCTCCCTGCCTTACCTGTGTCGAGGGGCGGCAGCGCGCCGCTCCTCACTCCTCCTTGTTCCCCCAACGACTTCTCCCCTTCAGACTCTCCACCTGGACGTGTAGGGCCCAGCCCGCGTCCGTAGATAGGGCTATGCTGTCCGAGCCATAACTTTGTAATGGCAGAACTTTTCGCGAGACAACTTGGCTCATTTCAAAGCTGTTGGAGCGAGCTTCAATATCAAAAAGTCTCGGCTTAATCCGATAGACAGTCTGCACAATACACTGCGCGAAAAACAAGGTACTTTGGTTATTTTGGCTAAGTCATTCTTGACTCCTCTCTCTACAAACTCCGACCCGAGAATAGGGGCTGGTCTTGTACCAGGCACCCAAGGACCCTTGGAGGTGACCCCGAGGAGAGGTTTTGATGTTGGGAAAGGAGCTGTCCGCGTTGCGCCTAAGCTAGAGAGAGCCGGTGCAACCTGTCCTGGACAAGATGCGCCACCTCTACGCAAAGTTGGCGACCGCGGGAATCACCTACTCGGAGCAGATCAAGTGCTTGAAGATGCTCTCGCTGCTGCCAGATCGTGGCTTCAATTCACGGGCGGATTGAGCCTGCCGTAGAACCAGAGCTCTAGGACACTCGCGTGGGTGCAGATGAAGATTCTGTTGATGTAAGGGCCTCAAAAACTCATGCTATTAAAACTTTATCAAACTTAAAACCTCTCCTCGGGGTCACCTCCAAGGGTCCTTGGGTGCCTGGTACAAGACCAGCCCCTATCTTTGGGTCCGAGTTTGTAGAGAGAGGGATCAAGATGGACTTAGTCAAAACAGCAAGAGTACCTTGAACGTCGCGCAGCGTATCGTGCAGACCGACGATCGGATTAAGCTGCGAATTTCCTATGTCCAAGCCCGCTCCAAAAGCTTTAAAATGAACCAAGTTGCCTCGCGAAAAGTTCTGCCATTACGAAGTTATGGCTCGGACAGTGTTTGCCTAGCATTGGAGTGCTAGCGTACTAGCGTTGACTTGAGTAGCATTTCGTCGTCGCACCGCGTAGAAACGAAATTCCAGGAAGGGAGGAATTCGCTTGAATCAAATTGACTATATCCAGGTACAAACAGAGTACGAATAAATGGTTCTAGCTAGCAAGGACCTTGGGAATAAACCTGGGAACAACCAAGGATGATCCCAAATAATTCCAAGCAACAGAACCAACCTGGCTGGACAAAACAGCATGTGGTAGGTTGGTAAACAACCTCTGGTTCTGTTTTTCCAACCTGGGAAAACAACAACCAGGTTCAGGTCCTAAAAACAGAACCTGTTTTGTCTTTGCCCAACCAGCCAAATGCTGGTTCCGCTGTTTTCCCCTGGCCCTATAGCATGCAGATACAGACAAACAACATCCAACCTTCACATAAATTGTACCCCTATAGTGTCTGCCCTGCTACACGATAGTCAACCAAACAAAACAGTACAATTTTGAGTTGGATAGAACTGAATCTGCGCAATCAAGTAAGCCGAACCGCAAAGTTTCCATCTTTGGTTCCTTTGCGAGGTCGTCCTTTCTGCTTGTACTGTTCATAGCGCGTACAATATTGTGCCGAAGCGCACAATGCGTGAGTACCTGCAAATGCTTCAAGCGAAAATTGCGAAAGCAAACAAACACACGAACATTCCATTCATACCCAAATGCATTCGTACACGCATACTCGTACAAACAGACGGCAGGATGTCGTGCAATGTGAATTTGCATCCAACAGATTCTGGAGGAGGACTTCTGTTGCTGCCAACTGAGGGGAGTTGGGTGCAAATTCACATTGCACGACATCCTGCCGTCTGTTTGTACGAGTATGCGTGTGCGAATGCATTCGCGTATGAATGGAATGTCCGTGTGTTTCTTTGCTTTCGCAATTTTTCCTTGAAGCATTTGCAGATACTCGCGCATTGTGCGCTTCGGCACAACATTGTGCACGCTATGAACAGTACAAGCAGAAAGGACAAGCTTGCAAAGGAACCTAAGATGGAAGCTTTGCGGTTCGGCTTACTTAATTTTGCAGATTCAGTTCTATCCAACTCGAAATTGTACTGTTTTGTTTGGTTGACTATAGTGTAGCAGTGCAGGCACTATAGGGGTACAATTTAGGTGAAAGTTGGATGTTTTTTGTCTGTATCTGCATGTTACAGGGCCAGGGGAAACCAGCGGAACCAGCATTTGGCTGGTTGAGCAAAGACAAAATAGGTTTTGTTTTTAGGACCTGAACCTGGTTGTTGTTTTTCCAGGTTGGAAAAACAGAACCAGCGGTTGTTTACCAACCTACCACGTGCTGTTTTGTCCAGCCAGGCTGGTTCTGTTGCTTGGAATTATTTGAGATCATCCCTGGTTGTTCCCAGGTTGATTCCCAAGGTCCTTGCTAGCTAGAACTTTTCATTCCTTCTCCGTTTGTACGTGGATATAGTCAATTTGATTCAAGCGAATTCCTCCCTTGCCGGAATTTCGTTTCTACGCGGTACGACGGCGAAATGCTACCCGAGTCAACGTAGTATGGTAGCACTCCAATGCTAGGCAAACGCTCTCCGAGCCATAACTTCGTAATGGCAGAGCTTTTCGCAAGGCAACTTGGTTCTTTCTAAAGCTCTTGAAGCAGGCTTCGATATAGGAAATTCTGAGCTTATTTCGATTGAAGGCGTGCACCATACACTGTGTGACATTCAAGGTAATCTTGTTCTTTTGGCTAAGTCATTCTTGAGTCCTTTCTCTCAAACTCGGACCTGAGGATAGGGGCTGGTCTTGTACCAGGCACCCAAGGACCTTTGGAGTTGACCTCAAAGAGAGGTATCAAGTTTGACTAGGTCTTAATAGTTTGAGTGTTTTAGGCCCTTATCCCAACAGATGAGAGGGAAGGTCCTAAGGGATACCCAAACCAACCAGAACCCATAAAATCATAAAATCCCCTGCCTATAGGGATTCCAACCTTGACCTTTGTCATTTCCCCAATCCGTGCCGTCCACCTCACCCCAAGTTAGCCATACTTGCCAACCTGGTTTGGTTTCTCCCAACCACTTGGCATCATTGACAGTAAATTGACGAATTTCTCAACCCCCAAAAGTGTATACCCTATATTGAGTCACCCCACAAGTTCCCATTGTCGCCGCAACCAAATATCATAAGCATACAAACTTCATCCGTTCGAAAATCATGGAAATTCACATCCCTTGAAACAATCAGCTTATGGCTGGTCAAGTTTTACAGCAACCAGCCATTGTGATCCTTGGCAATCCCCAAATGCATACCCCTTTTTCCAGATGCTTCCAAATTTTCACCCTTGTGCTCAGGCAAATGAAAGACCACCATACAGCTATAGGCTCTTAGCATGTTAACTGCTGTTGCACTCCCATATCACTTGGTGTAGAGGATCCACTGCTTTTTCTCAATAGTCCCTAGTACTCAGTTCTTCCCAAGGGTGACCTGCCGTAGTGCAGTCACCCAAAACGGATCTGGCAGCCCTGCACGCCCAAGGAGAGTGCGAGCACCTTCCTGCAGGGTCCGGTTGAATCGCTCAGCCACGCTGTTCTGCGAAGGGTTGTAGGGCACTGTGAGCAGATGCTGGATCCCCTTCTTCTTTCGCACCACCTCAAATTCATCGCAGATCAACTCTCCCCCATTGTCGGCGCAGATCGCCTTCACCTTGTATCCGCACTCCCTTTGCGCCCTTGGCATCCACTCCTTTAAAACAGCCGCTGCCACCTCCGCCTTGGTCTCGACAGGGTACACCCATACCTCACGCGTGTGGTCATCCACGATGGTCAAGAATTAGCGGCTGCCCGTGAGAAAAGGGGCCCTCGTAGGGCCCACTATATCCATGTGCACAAGCACGAGCGGGGCCTTGGCTGGTCATGTGCTGCTGATGAAAGGGAACTTGGTGAATTTCGTTTCAAGGCATGTAGGGCAGCTCCTAATCTTCTTCACTACCCCCTTCACCCCCAACCTCTTCCAGCTCCCATCCTTCACCAACTTCTGTAGCATAGGAAAATTCACATGGCATAGCCTCTTATGCCATGCCTCACAATCGGCCTCACCACTCCTAGATCAAGCCTTTGCCCATGCAGCTGTCCCATCCACACCAGCAAGCACCTTCTTGCTGGTGCTGCTGCACCTTCTTGACTGCATCCAGGGCCCCAACACTTGATGCAGTCTCCTCTCCTCCCGCAGTTGCTTTAGCCGCTGCTGCTGCTGATGCCGTTGCTAGAGGTTTTCGGTTCCAAGGGATGATGGGCAGCTGCCATAGGTCCTTGATGCAGCTGCTCTCCCCCTCCAGGTTCCACAACAACAGCTTCCCAAGATTCGCACGGCAGCTGGTTCGGCCGAAGGTAACTTCAGCCTTGCTCTTCTGCAGCCGTCGCACAGATAGGAGGTTAGCAACATATTCCCAAGTCCCAAAAGCTCCCCATTGGCTCCCATCACCTTGGCATTCCCAACACCAATCACATGGAGCAAAGCACCTGAAGCGGCAGCTACAAACTTGATCTTCCCAGGGGGCTTTACCCCACCAAGCAAATCTGCCCGTGGGGTCATATGACTTGTTCAACCTAAATCTATTACCCAATGAGTGAGGGGGTGCATCATAACCTTCCCAACCGAACCCACATCACCCCCGCTCCCTTTCACATCCTCAACCATGACGAACATCCCAGGGGAGGCTTTACCATGTGCACCTGAACCTTGCACAGCGCCACCTTGTGCATATTCACCACTTGGCGGCTTCATACCTGTAGGTGTCCAACCTTCAGGCCGGCTGAAACACTTGAACCATGGGTGTCCAGCCTTCTTGCAGTACCAGCAATTTCCCTCCATTCGGGTGCTTAACATGCCACCGAGGTTCCCATACCTCTCATTGTAATCACTTCGGCTTCACTCTCTGCCAAAGCCTCTCCCACAACCTCGGCCTCTCCTTCCGCCTCTTCTTTTGCTGCCTCCTGGAGCTCCATACCCTTCAGCAATCTTGTTGGCAGCACCACCTCCCTTGTAGAGCCTGCGGAATTCCTCCTGCAGGATCTGCTGACGTAGCCACTCGGGTGTCCATGTGTTGAAGGTGGGGATAAGGTTGTCCCATGAGCTGTCAAGCAC